TTATTGTCATATTTTCTTAAGTTGACCAGTTCAAGGAAGATTCAGTGACCCTTGCTTAAACTATGATGATACGACATTTACATATTATACAACTTTGTCAGCACAAAATATGTCAAAATACAGGAGGCCCATGGGCCTTATAGGTCACCTGAGCATCATGCAACAACTTAACAACGATTGACTTTGGTTCATGTTTAAACTAATAAACTGTAATGGCATTCATAATTTTGAAAGAGGTACCATTACTTATCATAACTATACACTTTAGTTTGGTTGCTTAATACCCATAAACAGAATAGGGGAACAAAAAAATACATTTCAACTTATCAGTACTATTCAGCAATAATCAGTATAGTGCCACTACCACACATGAACCCCTGACCCTTGGTCCACAAAGAATGACTGCACTTAAGGACGTTATTTGGAACTTTTTCGGCTACCCATTTGAAGCTTAACATTACAATAAATCGCTGAATTAATCTATGATTAATGTGCAAGCATATGCTTTTGACATTTATTTCTATAATTTTTCGTCATACATATTTCAATAATTACATACAACGCTATTGAAAAGAACATGTTTAACCCATAAATTCTGGAAAATTGAACTGGACCGCTTTCGATTTTAAGGTCGCAGCAAAGGGGCGGAGACATTTAAATCGCATGAAAATGGATCATAAGCGCATGGTTTTCCGTATTTGATTTATATTATATAATTTTATATATATATATAAAAAAGACCGAGAAGAGGGTTTTGTGTTCATTTTGTACAAAAAATAAATGATTTATAACCATGCATACAATTTCATTAATTTGTATCCACGTAAGTAAGAGTAAGTTAGTAAAGAGCAGAATATTAAGAGAAAAAACAAAAAGTTCATAAAAATAAACACAATTGTGATAAATACTGTATATGTATGCATTTTGTACGCTTAGGTTGGTAGTGTCTGTTTTGAGAATTATTGGTAGATGAAAATGACACTGAAATACATTTTATTTTCTGAACATAATGGGCTGTCTTCGCATAAATGAAAAATAATTTAAAACCTGTCTATAGGATAATCTGAAATAAGTACACACAGTAAATCCATATATGACCTTGCCATTTGATTATTGGCAGAGTTAATTTTCAAAAAAAGTTTTGATCGGTATTCAGAGTACAAAGGACAATGCATTAAAAAAATGAATTTCGGATTCTACATTATCAAGCACTGCATAATTTTCTCTATCTAACGTTCTTATAAAATTGGAATGCTTAAAATTTCACTGCTCATGTATTATTTGCTGTCAAGCAGCGAATTAACTAAATCTTAAAATAATTAAGTGTTCGTACCTACAGTGTATTAAAAAACAAATGATATTTTTACTTTATCTTAATCGTATTGAATAATAATTGTGGACTTATTAGTAAGTAAAAATAAAATAAAAAATTAGTTTTTTTTTAATGATGACTGTGGGCTTCTACCCTGAGACCTAAAACTGGTCGGGCTCCCGTTTTCAAATTTCTGGATCCGCCACTGCTATATGTACAGCATGTAATCAGCAAAATAATACCTTTTTCTTTTAAAATACCCCGAACAAAAACACTATGGTGAAAGAAATCAACGTAAACTTTAAAACGCTAATAAAATGTACGCAAGGATCTTCAATATTTTGAAGATGGAAGTACATGTAGATATGAAAAGAATTTTCCAACGACTGACACAATAAAGCGTGTCGAACACTTGAATGTCACGTGAGAAAAGTGATTATAATATCAAAGGGGTCACATGGGCTGAAACTCATAACCTGCTAATTTAGTAGCTATCTCGAGCGAAGTTTGGGTACATTTTTTTTAAAAATTAGATATGAGCCGCAACTTGACCAACATTGTCCTTCGGATATGTATAAGTTTTAGTTAAAATACACATTCTGTGCAAATGAGAAAAATGGTCAAGTTGCGGCTCGATGTAAACAATGTCATTGAAAACTGGTATGCATATGAATAACAATAGAAATGAGACAAAACTGTTAGACCCCTGTTTCAAAAGCTAGTGTCGCTCGGCATTATTTAATACTTTCATGTAATATAATAAACCAAAACCTGCTCTTAAGATATTGTTTAATACCTATAAAACATAAATTTAATGAATTTTGTAATTTTATTTTGCGCAAATCATTGGGATCCAACTCTCATAGCTTAAGTGCAGTCATTCTTTCACAATTTTGGAAAAGGCACCCTTGCTTATCAAAAATATTTGATTAATACAAAGGAGAAGATTTCAATCAATTAATTCATTTCAAGTAGATAATAAGAGCCCCCCTCTCTATGGTGCCCCTGACCCAGGGGCGTTGAAATTCACAATTCAGGAAGAATGGCCCTTTATCATCATAGCTTTATAGGTAGTTCATCTGCTTAATATCCAGGAGCAGAGAAGAAGATTTTCAAACAATTTCTGCATTTTCTCTATATAACCAATAGAGCCCCGCCCTAACACTAGAACCCCTGACCCTGGGGTCATAAAATTCACAATTTTGCAAAAGGCATTCTTCCTCATCATAAATATGTACTTGGTTAGTTTATTTTATGCAGGAGAAGATTTTTAAAGAAATAATGCATTTTTACTATATAATCAATAGAGCCCCATCCTAGCACTAGAACCCCTGAACCTTGGGCAATGAATTTCACAATTTTGGTAGAGGACTCAATGGTCATTACATTCATGCTAACAGTTTAAATGCTTGATGTCTAGGAGTAAAGAAGAAGATTTTTAAAAATTGCACGAATTTTAGTGTTTTTGGCCTCATCTCAGGCCCAAGGGGGGACAGGGACCATGAAATTCACAATTTATGTTCCCCTTCACTCATGGATGCTTTATGTAAAATTTGGTGGAAATTGGTTGAGTGGTTGCAGAAAAGAAGCTGAAAATGTTCAAATGTTAACACACGACAAACGACGCATGACGACGGACGAAAACAGATAGAATAGGTGACCTAAAATGTAAAAGGCATATCAATCATTGTAAGGACCATTATTGAGCCTTGTTAGCAAATATATATATATATATATATATATATATATATATATATATATATAGAAAGCACAAAGAAATTCACTTTTACATGGATACCCACTTCCGCCCCAGCCCGGGGTTGAACTCTCGACCTTCGGAATCTGTCTCCTAGCAGTGCAGGAACAGCGCGCTAGACCGCTCGGCTATCTAGGCAAGTCAAAAAACTTGCTTTCGATGCCGATGGAATTCTCGCGGCGCTGTCCTACACTACACGGTCATTGAGAATAGAAGTGAGATACAGTTATTTGGACATTAGTTTTAACAGAGGATTGTTACCAATACATGTTGTAATGAAATTAATTATTTATAAAGCACAATTTACAACAACTCTTAAACTAACATAACTGCCCTAAGTGAAGAAATATTAATATAGAAAGCACAAAGAAATTCACTTTTACATGGATACCCACTTCCGCCCCAGCCCGGGGTTGAACTCTCGACCTTCGGAATCTGTCTCCTAGCAGTGCAGGAACAGCGCGCTAGACCGCTCGGCTATCTAGGCAAGTCAAAAAACTTGCTTTCGATGCCGATGGAATTCTCGCGGCGCTGTCCTACACTACACGGTCATTGAGAATAGAAGTGAGATACAGTTATTTGGACATTAGTTTTAACAGAGGATTGTTACCAATACATGTTGTAATGAAATTAATTATTTATAAAGCACAATTTACAACAACTCTTAAACTAACATAACTGCCCTAAGTGAAGAAATATTAATATAGAAAGCACAAAGAAATTCACTTTTACATGGATACCCACTTCCGCCCCAGCCCAGTTTAAGAGTTGTTGTAAATTGTGCTTTATAAATAATTAATTTCATTACAACATGTATTGGTAACAATCCTCTGTTAAAACTTATGTCCAAATAACTGTATCTCACTTCTATTCTCAATGACCGTGTAGTGTAGGACAGCGCCGCGAGAATTCCATCGGCATCGAAAGCAAGTTTTTTGACTTGCCTAGATAGCCGAGCGGTCTAGCGCGCTGTTCCTGGACTGCTAGGAGACAGATTCCGAAGGTCGAGAGTTCAACCCCGGGCTGGGGCGGAAGTGGGTATCCATGTAAAAGTGAATTTCTTTGTGCTTTCTATATTAATATTTCTTCACTTAGGGCAGTTATGTTAGTTTAAGAGTTGTTGTAAATTGTGCTTTATAAATATTAATTAATTTCATTACAACATGTATTGGTAACAATCCTCTGTTAAAACTAATGTCCAAATAACTGTATCTCACTTCTATTCTCAATGACCGTGTAGTGTAGGACAGCGCCGCGAGAATTCCATCGGCATCGAAAGCAAGTTTTTTGACTTGCCTAGATAGCCGAGCGGTCTAGCGCGCTGTTCCTGCACTGCTAGGAGACAGATTCCGAAGGTCGAGAGTTCAACCCCGGGCTGGGGCGGAAGTGGGTATCCATGTAAAAGTGAATTTCTTTGTGCTTTCTATATTAATATTTCTTCACTTAGGGCAGTTATGTTAGTTTAAGAGTTGTTGTAAATTGTGCTTTATAAATAATTAATTTCATTACAACATGTATTGGTAACAATCCTCTGTTAAAACTAATGTCCAAATAACTGTATCTCACTTCTATTCTCAATGACGGTGTAGTGTAGGACAGCGCCGCGAGAATTCCATCGGCATCGAAAGCAAGTTTTTTGACTTGCCTAGATAGCCGAGCGGTCTAGCGCGCTGTTCCTGCACTGCTAGGAGACAGATTCCGAAGGTCGAGAGTTCAACCCCGGGCTGGGGCGGAAGTGGGTATCCATGTAAAAGTGAATTTCTTTGTGCTTTCTATATTAATATTTCTTCACTTAGGGCAGTTATGTTAGTTTAAGAGTTGTTGTAAATTGTGCTTTATATATATATATATATATATATATATATATATATTCTGTCGATGGGTCGTCAGTTCTCGGACATGTTTCATTTTTCTACGCAATGTTCTGTTTACCTGCTCAAGGTAAATGTGCCCCGTTAACACAGGATGATCAAGCCTGATCCCACCTCTGGAATTGCCAGTGTTCCATGTTTGTGCATATTTGTTGAACAATATCTAAAACGAGGTAAATTAATGATAAACAATTTGCAATTGATGAAGCAAGAATATCAGCATTTTTTTTTTTTTAAAAAGTCATCATTTCGTAAGTTCTTTGGTCGATACAATGATCTTGCAGAAAAATCAATTTATCAATGAGTCAAATGCTGATTTACTTTTTCATACTTATTGTTAGTCCATTATGTATACACTGGATTGATAACGGATTTTCCCGTTATTTTCTGATCATGACAAGGAGCATACGGCGGATGTGACCGGTCAGTAGGGGATGCACACTTTTCCATGGCACCTGATCCCAACTCTGATTCTTAAGAGTTCCGTGTTTGCTCTACTCCTATTTTGTTTTGTTTTTAAATGGACTTATGAGATTGAATTCTGTTTGTTATCTCCATATGTTTCACTGAATAGATTTTCTTGAGATCGATCACATTTAGTTAACTTCACTATTTCATTATTAGAACGTAGATCCCGTGGGTGGATAGAGGATTTGTTATAAGGGTGTGTGTGTGTGGATAACTTCGCTCAGGCAAGGGGTCTGGGGCCGCCTTAAGGCCCCCAGTTGGTTCAGGGTGAAGCCCTGGTGGGGGCCCAGGGGGTCAAACCCCCGAAAGTTCCCGTTTTTTTTTTTGTATTTTTATGAGTAAAACTAGGCACAATAGTAGTATAGGTTAATTATGTATCAATACTAATCATACTAATTATGTATCAATACTAGTCATATCATACTTTGAATGAAGGGGGTTCATGGGGCAAAGCCCCCGGAAGCTCTTAGGTTTTTATGTATTTTAAGAGTAAAAACTAAGCACAAAAAATAGTGGAATTGTGCAAAAATATGACACTATTAATTTTACATAATTCTTATCATACTTTGAAAATTTTAGAATGTGTGTGCCCTCCACGGAATTATGGTTCAAACGGTACCTGAAATATAAAGATCCGTTTCCTGTATTAACAATATCGAATTCTCAAAATCATAAAATGCCGTTTTGACTTTCTAAAGTGCCGTTTTGACTGCTCTCAAGTGCCGTTTTCACCAGGTGCCGTTTTGACTTAAGCTTGTACCAGTTGGACCCCCCTCCACGCCACCTTTAAATACACCATTGGTGCCATGTCACGATAGACGTTGGCACGATAAAGAACCTTCAACGCTCAATGGCCCTGAGTGCCGAGTATAGAGTTAAATTTGAAGCTGTATTCCTGGGCAAAGTGTGTGTTATTAAGCCCCCTCAAATATTCGGTCAAACGTCTTCACTTTAATTTGTGAGCTCCAACAAAACGCATTTTGAACCCAGTCGAAAGAGTTACTGTACTGTATATTGCTACATGTAGTCTGGCAGTCATTACATGCTGATTTCGATTAAACACAGTGATTTATATTTTAATAGACAATACAAAAATCGGTGAATACCATTAAGATTAACTTACCTGAAGAGAAATATTACCTTATTCACCTGCTGATTGCCTATAAACTCTTCTAATTTTAAGGGCTTTGTCCTTGAAGCTTCTTTGTCGATTAACTCAGTCAGAGCATGCGTGGATCGTTTTGTAATGTTGATTTGGTCTACTGCATTTTACGGAGTTGTATCGTATTTCCCGATCAACTGTACTTTAAATTTCAATAACATGTATTTACCCTTTAAGAATATCTAATGTCTAATGTTTACATCTACCCAACAATCAATTAATGATTACTAATATAATTTCTGAAAAATGAAAAAAAAAATACAATTTTTGATTGAACACCAAAATTTATCTCCCTGAGCTCTTGTGGGGAGCAAAAAAAAACCATAAACAAAAGCAAGAAAAAAAAGACAAATCAGCTCTGTACATTTGGGAACAGATAATATAAAAAGTGATGCCAGGATTGATAAATATTTTTGGCTTTTTCAGGTTTTAAATGACAAAAATATTACATGTTCCGAAATTTCAAGAAATTGTAAACTTTCCGTTATATTCAACATTATTTTTCTTTAATTCTTACAAATCTCTACGATCTTTATCCCATGATGAACTTTGAGCAAAAATAAAAATGCGTTTAAACATATTTATCTTATGTAAACATTACCTCAGTTTTTATTCTCATGACGTTGTAAGAAAGTGTTGATATGTATCATCTGTCCTTACTTGTCAATGCAAGACATGGAAAAATATTTATACCCGCACTTTCTAAAGAAAGTTCGGGTATATTGTTGTTACTCATGTCCGTCCGTCCGTCTGTCCGTCCGTCTGTCACACTTTTCTTCCCTAAACTCCTCTTACATTTTACACAGTAGGCTAATCATCTTTTGGGAGATGGTTGGTGGTGTCATGTAGATGTGCAGTAAGGTTTCGGAATTTTGATTTTGCCTTCGGGGGTCAAATGGGGGTCGAAAAATGACGTTTTTTATGCAAAAAGCCTCGTCTTCACTGAACTCCTCTTACATTTTACACAGTAGGCTAATCATCTTTTGGGAGATGGTTGGTGGTGTCATGTAGATGTGCAGTAAGGTTTTGGAATTTTGATTTTGCCCTGGGGGGTCAAATGGGGGTAAAAAAATGACGTTTTTTATGCAAAAAGCCCCGTCTTCCCTGAACTCCTCTTACATTTTACACAGTAGGCTAATCATCTTTTGGGAGATGGTTGGTGGTGTCATGTAGATGTGCAGTAAGGTTTCGGAATTTTGATATTGCCCCGGGGGGTCAAATGGGGGTCGAAAAATGACGTTTTTTAAGCAAAAAGCCCCGTCTTCCCTAAACTCCTCTTACATTTTACATAGTAGGCTAATCATCTTTTGGGAGATGGTTGGTGGTGTCATTTAGATGTGCAGTAAGGTTTTGGAATTTTGATTTTGCCCCGGGGGGTCAAATGAGGGTCGAAAAATGACGTTTTTTATGCAAAAAGCCCCGTCTTCCCTGAACTCCTCTTACATTTTACACAGTAGGCTAATCATCTTTTGGGAGATGGTTGGTGGTGTCATGTAGATGTGCAGTAAGGTTTCGGAATTTTGATATTGCCCCGGGGGGTCAAATGGGGGTCGAAAAATGACGTTTTTTATGCAAAAAGCCCTGTCTTCCCTGAACTCCTCTTACATTTTACACAGTAGGCTAATCATCTTTTGGGAGATGGTTGGTGGTGTCATGTAGATGTGCAGTAAGGTTTCGGAATTTTGATATTGCCCCGGGGGGTCAAATGGGGGTCGAAAAATGACGTTTTTTATGCAAAAAGTCCTGTCTTCCCTGAACTCCTCTTACATTTTACACAGTAGGCTAATCATCTTTTGGGAGATGGTTGGTGGTGTCATGTAGATGTGCAGTAAGGTTTCGGAATTTTGATATTGCCCCGGGGGGTCAAATGGGGGTCGAAAAATGACGTTTTTTATGCAAAAAGCCCTGTCTTCCCTGAACTCCTCTTACATTTTACACAGTAGGCTAATCATCTTTTGGGAGATGGTTGGTGGTGTCATGTAGATGTGCAGTAAGGTTTCTCAAATATATGTCAAACTCAAAGGTCAAGGTCAAAAGGTTCAATTGTTGGTATCAGAAAAAAGTCTTGTCACAAGGAATGCACATGTGAAATAAGTAATCCCTAGTACTTCCTCTTCAAAAGTTAATTGCCAAGGTTAATTTTTTAAGTGGTTCAAACTCTACGGTCAAGGTCAAACATATTTATACCTGTTGACAGTTCACAATGAATACACATGTTAAGCATGAAAGCCCTAGCACCTACTGATCAAAAGAATGACTGCACTTAAGCTATGAGAGTTGGATCCCAATGATTTGCGCAAAATAAAATTACAAAATTCATTAAATTTATGTTTTATAGGTATTAAACAATATCTTAAGAGCAGGTTTTGGTTTATTATATTACATGAAAGTATTAAATAATGCCGAGCGACACTAGCTTTTGAAACAGGGGTCTAACAGTTTTGTCTCATTTCTATTGTTATTCATATGCATACCAGTTTTCAACGACATTGTTTACATCGAACCGCAACTTGACCATTTTTCTCATTTGCACAGAATGTGTATTTTAACTAAAACTTATACATATCCGAAGGACAATGTTGGTCAAGTTGCGGCTCATATCTAATTTTTAAAAAAATGTACCCAAACTTCGCTCGAGATAGCTACTAAATTAGCAGGTTATGAGTTTCAGCCCATGTGACCCCTTTGATATTATAATCACTTTTCTCACGTGACATTCAAGTGTTCGACACGCTTTATTGTGTCAGTCGTTGGAAAATTCTTTTCATATCTACATGTACTTCCATCTTCAAAATATTGAAGATCCTTGCGTACATTTTATTAGCGTTTTAAAGTTTACGTTGATTTCTTTCACCATAGTGTTTTTGTTCGGGGTATTTTAAAAGAAAAAGGTATTATTTTGCTGATTACATGCTGTACATATAGCAGTGGCGGATCCAGAAATTTGAAAACGGGAGCCCGACCAGTTTTAGGTCTCAGGGTAGAAGCCCACAGTCATCATTAAAAAAAAACTAATTTTTTATTTTATTTTTACTTACTAATAAGTCCACAATTATTATTCAATACGATTAAGATAAAGTAAAAATATCATTTGTTTTTTTAATACACTGTAGGTACGAACACTTAATTATTTTAAGATTTAGTTAATTCGCTGCTTGACAGCAAATAATACATGAGCAGTGAAATTTTAAGCATTCCAATTTTATAAGAACGTTAGATAGAGAAAATTATGCAGTGCTTGATAATGTAGAATCCGAAATTCATTTTTTTAATGCATTGTCCTTTGTACTCTGAATACCGATCAAAACTTTTTTTGAAAATTAACTCTGCCAATAATCAAATGGCAAGGTCATATATGGATTTACTGTGTGTACTTATTTCAGATTATCCTATAGACAGGTTTTAAATTATTTTTCATTTATGCGAAGACAGCCCATTATGTTCAGAAAATAAAATGTATTTCAGTGTCATTTTCATCTACCAATAATTCTCAA